TGACATCTTACACTGGTTGCCTCGAACAGCGTCTTCGCTCTAGAATGACCCCCTCAGCATGTTTAATAACAGTCTAACTTCATGCTATTGTACAAAATATTTAAATGTTCTGTCATCCGACCTAACCTGGCACACTTTCACATTCATTCAGTTGCGACAGCATGGCTCTGAACTTCAATTTGTGTAAAACGACTTAGAAACCTTCGTATTACGTAAGATTTCATTGCGAAGTTTGTTCTTTGGTGCATGCGATCATTTCATACTTCTGCAAAGCAGTTATTTCTGCTGACCTGCCAACATATAATTTTGACAATTTTTTTAAGGTGATCGGTTGATTAAATTTCAGAAATAAAAAGCTCCAGTATTCACCTGATTCGATATTCTACTTCTAATTCTATTCGTGAAGCAATTTCTGACCGCAGTTGCACGGGACAGGTAGAAAACGTTATCAGCTGCGTGTTTAACCTTGCCGTTCGCCAGTTTCATGCACTCGATGGACACATCTCACTGTTGGTTCTTTGGTAAAGCCTGCTACATGAGCCGCAGCCACGGTTTCATAGTGCATTCTCCAAAGTCACCGTGAGATTAGAATGTGCTGTTCGAGTTTGCGACGTTGTTCACTGCTTATTTTCATTTTCTGTTTTTCCTCTGCGATACTGCATTGATTTCTCCAATGGTTGATTGTCTGCTCGTTCATTCTGTTAGTCCTAAGCGTGAAAATATAGTTCTGCATTGTACGCATCATTATTAACTGTCGATTTCGTTTTTCTGACAACTTCAACTCGAACAACGTCGAACTTGATGCTGATCCTTTTCAAAAGATAAATCAGTATTATTCATTAACATCCTTTCGTTGCATTCATCCATTTATTCGTGAGTGAAAAACATAAATTAAAATAAAATATATAAATCAAGTACTAAATAAATGAAGGTATAAAAAATAAAAGAATGAATGAATATGTCGATAAATGAGCTGATCATTGAAGGAATGAGTAAGTACACGAATCTAAAAATGAGCAGACAAACGAAGGAAAAATAAATGTTGGAATAAATAAATGAATAACTGTATCAAATAAATGAATGAACAAATCGATGGATATGTGCAATAGTAAGACAGATGAAAGAAAGTATGAAGAAATAAAGGAACGATTTATTTTCATGCATTAATTCGTTATCATACGTCCATCTATTAATTAATTCATTTTTCATTATTTATTAACTTGTTTACATGTTTATTATTTCAGTCGTTTGTTCATTCATTCATTCGTTCTCTAATTGATCATTGGTTTCGTTCAAGTGTTTATATATTCATCGAGTCATTTGTACCTTTGTTAATTCATTATTCGATCATTTACTTATTCCTTTGTTCATCCTTTCATTTGTTCATTCACTCATTCGTTCTTTTACATGTTCATACATTCTTTCATCTATGATATATATTGACTGATTTGTTCAGTCATTTACTTTCGTTCGTTTGTCTCTTCATTCATACATTCATTTGCTGACTCATTCCTTCATTAATCATCTTATTTATCTATATATTCGTTCATTATTCACCTTTTCTTACTTCCGTTCATTTAATTTTTTCTCTATTCGCTTGTTTTTTACTCATTCGTTATTTATGCATTTGTTCATTTTTCGTATATTCTTTTATTCATAAAGTCGTTCATTTATTCTATCATTCATTTGTTCAGTTTCTATTTAGTCAGTTATTTATCCATTCTTCCATTTATTGGATAATTCATTTATTCCCTCATTAATTCGTTAATGAGTGCATATTAATCTCTAGTGCGGAATATTTGTTTTCTTTTCTTTGAAAAATTATATTACAAAAATTTGCACTGTTCTGGAAGAAGATTCAGGTAATGTTCGATGAAAGCCTCAAGAAACGAGAAACGAGAAAAACAGCACAAATCGTCTTTTAACAGTCAGTTACAGGTGGGGCAGTGATATACCGCTGTGTAAAATTTGAGAATTGGCATGAGATTGTTATTCTTACAGGCATTATTAAAAACTAACAGTTTGTTGATAAATTCATAATACTGGCGTCTACTGTGGAATCGTAATTTATTTAGTACGCATCGTTTCACATAACAGCCTTGCCAAATTCATGCAAATTCTACTTTAACAGAAGGCGGCATTTGCCATTTCTCTAATATTGGCAAACCAGATGTTTCACTCAGAATGTTACAGACGGGCACTTTCCCTGTTTGAACTGCTGATGAGTTCTTGAATTCCGTTTATTTCTCGTGTCTTTCTGGTTTTATTCTTCTGCCTTGATTGTTGCTGCACTTCTGTGGGATATTTGTCGTTTTCAGATAGTAACCCCTAGAAGTTTTATTTTAATAAATGTCGGATATCAGCTTAATTATTTGCCGATGACTCGTGCCTGTGGAGTGTGGATAGGCCATGTTATCACGAGTAAACCGGTAATAGCACATCACAGAACAAGAATTGTGAATTGTACGGCAAGAGGCTGCTGGACTACGTATTATTGTACTCTGTTTGATTTTACTCCGTTACAATTTCGAAGGCATTTGTCACATCTTTTTCATATAAAAATTTCCTGTCGATTTGAGGTGAAAGATGAGCTGACCCGATTAGGAAATTCCCTACTGAGGAATGTCTGTGGGAAAAAAGAGACATTTATGTTGGTATCTCATCTCGACTTCCTTTACAGTATAAGATAAATTGTTGCACACCTGATTCCACCGTTCGATTGTGTATCTGACTATGGCGTTCGAAAGATTTTCTTCAGAGCAAAAATTCGTCAATGAGTATGTCGTCCTCGTTTTATCTCTGTCTGACTGGTTGACGTTTTCGAATGCGTGGCAATGTGTCTGAACTATTGTAAGACTTAGGCTGACTGGAATTTTTGTATTTCGTGCTAAGGTATTACCCTATGTTTCAGTTGGTGGCCTTTTTCAACTACCCTTTTCGTCAACCCCGTTATGAGTAACCCATCCGGCACAGATGATCTGCAATCGGAATGGGAAGTGAAGCACTTCAGAAGATTACCCAAATCTCGACTCCGTTATCTCTACTGATGACGGCATCTAGCATGAGTTAGATAACAGGTTAGCTGTAGCTTCCACTACGTTTGTAAATGTATCCTAGATCTGGACTGTGTAAGGATTATATCGTTAAGCAGAAATTTGCTGCGTCAGCTTCGACTCATAATGAGAGTTAAGTGACGGGATTACGTAAGGAACGATTCTGTTCTCTTCCTGAATCATACCAACTAAATAAATGTTGAGATTTGGGAAAGGGAGTTAGTGCTGATGGACAAAGTGCTTGAGCAGAAACTATATACTCCAAAGAATGAGCTTTTCATGTTTGTGCCGACATAGGGCAAAGTCCTGCAGTACTTTAAAACAAGGTAGAAGCAGATATGTTTTCGAAGAGGAATATTTCCTTTTACGTGCAGTGACATGTGCCTTATAACGAAAGTGTTAAAATGTCGAGAATACGGCGAACGTCACAAGCGGGAGACGTTCTGCTTATGGGAACGACTTGAGTTAATGATCTCGACTGGCGTAGGCACAACAGCCATTCTTTTGGGCTTTTTCGTTTGGTTTTCTTATATCGACGTATTCGTTTATTTGAATGTATTTTAGTGCGTTATGAAGCTGAAAAGCAATGCCGTGGCGTGGAATCCTGTCGAAGCTTTTACTTTTACCGTCGCTAACGAAGACTACAAGTAAAAACATTTTTGAACTGTTTTTTGAATGATTCTCGTGGTCTTCATTTGTTCCGTATAAAAAGTTTTAGTTTTTGGATAAAAATTTACGATGATGGTTGCGCACTAATGAGAGAGAACCCTTCGGCAC